ATGTTTATCATCTATTAGCATGCTTTCCCCGTAAAATAACCAAAAGAATTAAAGATGACTCAATTTATTAAATAATTGAACAGCAATATTTATTATAATTAACAAATTTTCACAGACCTTTTAATGAAAGCTATGGTCAGAAAATTTCTATCAAGACATGCATTCTTGGTTATCAAAAATAGGATTTGAAGTACAGAAATGAAGATTCAGATTTTGCTGTCAAAGAGTACTTTTACAATTTAAATATTAAAATTTCTGAAAATAAGATCTTATCATGAGGCACAAAATGAAATATATGCTGTAAAAAATAAATAAATGATCAAATAAACCTCACGTGCCTCCAGAAATCATGTGAGATTCTGTACAAAGTGCCCATTTCTGCTTAATTTTGTAACTGAATTTGCTTCATTTCATAAATACTGTTCATTTTCAATTGCTAACAATAACAATGGTATGTAATACAAATATGAATGGCCTTTCCATGTTTGATTGGGGGCCAGTAAGACACTAACGACAATTTTTACTATACACTCACCAGCCGATATAGATTTTCCCAGTAGTCCTGTGTCATCAGTCGAAACAGTGACAAGAAAGCCCAACTGAATGTGTCAAAGCTAGTATATCCATAGTTGGGGTTTCTACCAGCTTTTACACAGAGAAACTCTTCTGGACATTTACTGGGAAGAAAAAAAAAAAAAAGAAAAAAAACCCTCATAAAGCGATGCATATAAAAAAATCATATAACACTAAAATTTTTTTTTAAATTATTGTACCTTGTGCTTCTAATGAAGGCTCATTAGATCTAATCTGTGAAGAGGGCTGCTGTTTGTGCCTTACAACATTTTAAAAATTAGTGAGGAAATCAAAAGAGTGTTCTTCAAAAAAAGCCAGAAAAGAACAAGCAAGTAAATGAAAATCTTTTTTCCTACCTTCTTTCATCATTATACACAAAATAAACCTTTTTCCCAACACTTTTTCTATTGGCTCTGCAGATACTTCTTCAATAGAAACAATATATTTACTTAATACAGACATTCCCTAAGGTGCATACTTCCATGCAATACAAAAAAACCCAAACAAACAAAAAAAAGTCAGTATATTTTATGCTGAATTTTGTCTGTCAGCAGGGTTGGCATACCAGATTTCTTGGTTTCTTCAGGTTTGTGAATTAGTGAAGTTAATTTAACAAATTCTACCAACTCCTCAACAGCAAATAATCATCATAGTGGTACTTTTGTCTCCTGAAACTGTACATATCAGTTTTGAGAGTAGATGATCCAATCTTGACATCAACTGTAGGCACACTGTTTCAGTTATGATTCCATTCTGGAAGGGTGGAAGAGGTTCTTGCCTCCAAAACCTCTACAGAAAAACACTATAAAGATGTCTTTTCATATATGTGCATGTGTATTTGATGTGTATTTACACACACAAAATTATCTGGTTGTTCCTTACATATATACATACATATATATACATACATATATATACACAAGATGTTTACAAAAAAAGATTTAAGTGTATCTGTTTTAAAGACATAACCAACCAAATTCAAGGGATGGACTGATACATCATTAGAATATAGAATTCCGTGATTTTATTACAAAGAATTGTCACAAAGAGCGAGCAAGATGGTGTTATGCATGCAGTCCACAGACAGAAGAATCCTGAAGATGTCTTTCCAAAAGTTGGTCGTAAGACTCAGTGCCCAGTGTCTATTTTAGAGATGAGAAATGGCATGAAACCCATGAAGTATATTCTTAAGTCATTGATAATGCAGTACCTACCTGCTGAAATGGAATTTCCTAGTTACTTAAGTTTTAAAAATAAATTTACAGTGAAGTATTTTATTTAACGGCTTTACTTATTCAAGTGTTTACTTACTATGAACCATGACCACATACTATTGTGAATTTAGGTAGCTAAACTTCTTAAGTTTAGAGTGGCTTTTTTTACATTTTGTTTAGACAAGTAGTATATAATTTTCAGTGTACCTTACCCTGCATCTGAGCTATTGCCACAAAGCAGATAATCCTTTTCTCCTTCTATGCGATAGAAATGACCTAGAAAAAAAAAAAAAAAGTAACATGATTATAAATGGAAGGAGATTTTGGTGGGTTTTTTTTTTGTGTGTGTGGGAGTATGAACCCATGTTCAAGTTATCATGGTTTGAATGTTCATAATCTCTCATTCATGTTTTCCCAATAATGGGTTCAAATATTGGCATATCCATACTGGTAAGTAATGTTGCAAAATTAAAGAATAAATAAAAACTCAATGTAAAAATAAAATCCTAGAACAATGGTTAGAACGATGGTTAGAACAATATAAATTGCATATTCTCTTCTTGATACATAGCAAATTCTGAATATCCTTCCAAAATCTGATGTTCCATAAATGAAAGAAAGCACAAAGCTTAAAAATCATTCTCTTATTCAGTATGTAGACTGTAATAAGACAATTAAAGCATATCTTATTTCAAATGGAACTATTTACAATAGCTGGCTAACAGTTTTGAAATCAGAGCAACATTACTAGCACATCCTGTAACAGAAAAGATGAAGGTAACATTTTAAAGGATGGATGCTCCAATGACAATAAACAATTTCACAGAATTTTTCTTTTAATTATAAGGTGGTAGCCTTCAGAGATAAAGGAATACCTTTTTTTATTAATGATTAACAACTTTGCTGGCCTTAAAAAAAAAAAAACAAAAAACAAAACAAAAAAACCGAATAAAAAGTACAAATAGAAAGATGATAACAAATTGGGGAAGAAGTTGATGAGTGAGAGCAAACCCCATTCAGAGAGATGTAGGCAGGCTGGAGGAATGGGCTGACAGGAGACACATTCAGACACATGCAGAGCTGTGTACCTGGGAAGGAAGAGTCCCTTGCAGTGAGCTGGGACCTGAAAGGCTGGGCAGTAGCTCTGCAGAAAAGGCCCAGGGCTCCTGGCAGACAGACAGCACGCTGAAGTGTGCCCTGGCAGGCAGGTGCAAGCCAGCAGTGTGCCCTGGCAGCCACGAAGGGCAGCAGCCTCCTGGGCTGCATGAACAGAGGCACAGCTAGGAGAGTGAGGGAGGTGACTATGCCCCTTGGCTCACCGCTCATGAGACTGTACCTAGAATATTGTGTCCAGGTTTGCCCCCCCCAAGAAAGACATTGATAAAGTTGAGCAAGTTCAGCGGAGGGTCACCAAGGTCATGAGGGGCTGGGAACATTCACCCTGTGAGGAGAGGCTGAGAGACCTGGCCTTCTTCAGCCTGGAGAAAGGAAGGTTGTATGGTACGTTGATAGAAATTATCTAGCAACTACAAGGAAGTTATCAAGGGGATAGAAACAGGTTCTTCTCACTGGTGTGTAGCACAATGACAGACAATTGGCATAATTTGAAATTTGAGGTTCTGATGGGATATAAGAAGAAACTTTTCATTGTGAGGATAGCCAGGCACTGACATCTGGAAAAGAGATCTGGAGAAAACTTTTATCTCAGTTAAACTAATCTTCTGACATCCTCAATGTACCTTTCAAACTGACAGAGGCTTTGGTTTTTCACAGGGTAAAAAACTAGTGTAGTATTTAAACAGAAACAGCCCATGGGATGAAGAATCTGTGAAGATAGGAGGGTTCTAAACTGAAAATAAAAACTAGTGATGCCAAAATCCAAGCATTCAAGAACAGTACTTATACAGTGTTAGAAAAACTATAATCCTATTAACTACCACAATAACTTTAGAACCAGCCAAAGCTCTGAATGTTCAGATACTGATCTAAATACCAGGTGCCAGTGCTTTGACATGTGGATACAAGATCTGTGCATGTATTTTATAACAGTGAATCTGGCCTTGTTCCTTAATAAATGAAAGTGTACAGACGTTAAGAAAAGTCACTAGAGGGTATCACACTCGGTCACAGCTGACCAGCATATGATATGCTGAAAAAATATTAGTAGGATCTACTACTGAGCCTAGTAAAATTATAATGCATCTGACACAAATTATTAAGAACAGGTTATACAAGAAAGGAAGAATACAAACACAACTGGATGGAACTGCATCAGCAGAGACTTCCAGAAATGTCAACAGTTGTACATAGGAAGCAACTGATATTCTGGAATATTTTAGTTCTAGATTGCTACTTAGTGGGAAATGAAAATAGAGAAATCTATATAGGGTATTTGAAGAGAGAATTCACAAGTGTTCTACAGCATATAAAGTATCAGCCAAAATTGCCCACAAAGCACTATCACTACTCCATTTTCACATCCCTTCTTAGGCAAATAAACTCACTAAAATGATAGATTTCATAGAAAATGTAATGACAGTCACAGAATTTCCAGAATTTTATTAATTTGGAAGTATAGAAAGAAAATCTGAAAATACAGATAACAGCAGAGAACTTTAATGTTCATTTTTAAGTAAGGAAGAAAATATGACTCATCAAAACTCAGCCTACAACAACTGTATTTTCTTTTACTTTTAGGTCAGTGAGGAGGAAAACTAGTATCCATTATTTTTCCAATTTTTTTTTTACTTAAATACACTACTTTTACAATTAATTACTAAGCAATATCCTGTGCATCCACATCTAGGACAAACCCACACATAAAAATTAATTAAATTTTTGGCAGTTAAAAGCTGTTATACTATATCTCATGGTTCATAGCATATTACAGCTTTATTGGTGATATCACAAATACAAAAATAAATACCTGTGTGTTTCTGAATCAGCCTGAATGTTATCACTTTAATCTACAGAGATTAAGACTGTTGCAAAATATGTGTATAAAGATGTCTTTGTCAGCCCCCTTAGCAACAACAATAGGTCATACAGATGGGTACCATCTCCTTCCATACCAGAATCTCTACTTGCTTATTGAGTTCTTTATTTCACGGAGGCCAATTGATTGCTTACCTCTACCTAATAATAAAAGTACATCTTAGTTAGGAAATCTCTGATATTTATCTAGTGCTTCTCTTTTTTATTTATAACCTAAAGATACAAGGAGAGTCTACGAGAACAGGCTTTATCCAGCCTTGAGAAGGCCAAGGCGTGTGTGGAAGAATCTTCATGCTACTTACACAAGCATAACATGAAAGACTGTCATGAAGATGAAGCCTGACTCTTCTTAGAGGTACACACTGGAATGATAAAAGGCAACTAGAAAAATTTGTGGATGGGAAATTCTGAACTGATATTGTGAGACTGGTCAAACACTGGAACAGGCTGACCAGAGATGCTGTAGTATCTCAATCCTTGAAAATAATAGAAACTAGACTGGCCATGGCATTGAGCAGTTTGCTCTACCTGGACCTGCAGCTGATCAGCAGTTGGCCTGGACAACTGTGGACATCCTGTCCAACCTGCAGGATTCTGTGACTCTAAAACCAACCTAAACCTATAAATACGTTTCTAAGTGCAGTTAATAGAAAAAGCAAACATGTCAGCATGAGTCTGAGATCCAATACATAAAAATCCTTACTCTTTTGTCACCCTATTTAATTGATTTTTATCTTTAGCCTATAGTATGAAACAATAATTTTGTGTGTGTGCGTTCATACACAAAAATTTTAGCAAGTTACAATAGTATTTCTTACTTTCATTCTCAATGTATGCTGTCCAGTCAAACACTGTACCATTAAAGTATGGAGCTAGGTATTTTTCAAAAGATGTTGAGTTTTTTGATGGCCATAACAAGCATTTATTCTTCAAATTGCCCATGAACAGCTGCAGTCCTATGAGTGCAAATACACTCAGGCAAAACACAGTCAAAATCATTACATCTGAGAGCCTCTTCACAGACTGAATTAAGGCTCCAACAATAGTCTTCAAGCCTGCAAACAGAAAGATTTTTATTACACATTAAATATTTACCTAAGCTAAAATGCAATGTGAAATACTCCAACACAATATTAAATATCATGCACAGCTTCACAAAAAGTTTCAAAATATTTTCCAAAGCAAAAGGTACTAATAAATCTCATAATTCCTGACAAATTAATTTGAAAATATGAATGAGAATGAATGGTACACATTCCATAGCACCTGCTCTTCAAATGAAGAAGTAACTTTTTATTCATGCTCTCTATACATGTAAACTACATGTAAAGAAAATTGTTAATTTTATTTTCTTCTCGATGCCTCTTGCTCCAAACCTTTGCCAGCATTCTATTCCAATACACAATATATTGGCTCTGTAATAGCAAACAAAACCAGAACACAACTGCATTGTAATAGAAATTTTAATGATTGCATTCTGTTGCAACCTATTCAAGTAGAGGTGGGGTTTGGTGAAGATAGGCATCTTAAGGTAATAAATACATCATGCAATACCCATGCTATTCTTTATTATCTTATTCCTTTGACAGGGATTCAACTTTTACAACAGATTGAAATTTTCAATCCCAAATGTCTTCAATAAATAGTATCATTCACATTAGAAACAGAAAAATAAAAACAATTAATCTTGATCCTTAACATGGGAGAGAAAATTTGACATTGTGAAATGGAAATACACAGGCTATGTAATTCAATTTCTCATGCAAGAATGTATTAAACTCTGAGGCTGAGTGTTTTAGAGAATTAAGAAGGGCATCAGATTGAAGTTAAGATTAAAACCTGGATGCTTCTGTTAAAAATATGAGTTTGGCTTCTGTGGAATTTCAGTCAGCCTCAGTGTTTAACCTAGCTCTCACCTGGAATGACTGATATTGTTTTCAAAGCTCGGAGAACTCTGAATGTTCTCAACGCTGAGACATTGCCCAGGTCCACAAACTCTGTCACATATCTGTAGTAAGGGATTCCACACACAAACACAATGACAGCACACACAAAATTAAACAGAGATGATGTAGAGCGCCTACCATTTTACACAGTTACTTCTTACCTGGAATTACAGAAATAGTTTTCAAAGCTCTCAATACTCTGAAAGTTCGAAGAGCTGAAACATTGCCTAGGTTTACAAATTCTGTTATATACCTGTAGGATTAAATCACAGTTATTCAGAATTAAGGTAGAGTGTGTACTACTTACCTGGAACTGTATTCCAGACTAGATTTTTTGGAAGGTGCAACTTTAAATGAAAGACTTGCATTCATATTTTCCTGTTTCAATTAAGTTTTCCCTAAGAAACACACCCTTAACTCATTGCCATTAAATGCAAATTAAAAATGAAATGGATGTCCCTGAATTTCTTCTTAAATACTATTTAAAATTGATTGTTCAGTGGTAACTTCTCTTTTGTACTGTGAAATAGTCCACTAATTCTGTTGTGTGCCACATTAGTGTAAAATATTAAAATGGAAAAACTTGAAACATAATTCAACTACAATTAATTTTAAATGAGCTAAAATAACCCAGACAAATCGTTACAGGTTCAAAAAAGTTCTAACTGATATTTTACTTAAAAGAAATTATATACTTACGCAAAGGAAATGACAACAAAATCAAGCCAGTTCCAGGGGTCACGAAGACAAGTAAAATCATTTATGCAGAAGCCTCTTGCAAGGATTTTTACCAGAAATTCAAAAGTATAAATTCCAGTGAAAGTATACCTGTGAGAAAACATCCAAGCAAAAGTTAAAAGATTGTCGTTCAGTAATACAACACCACAGGCATAAAGGAAAAATCACTCAAAACCAGTGAGGAGTACATGTACTGTAATAGCAGTTACAAACTCACATAAACCATGACTGTTTTCCCACCATTCTTCTGCAAAATAACTGGATTTATTTATTTTACCTGAACATATTTTAGCAGTTTCTGGCATGAAAGATTTTGAAAGTTCAGCACAATAATAATAATAATCATGACTAACATGAAGAAAATACTTTTGCTCAAATAAAAAGTTGCCATGTTAGAGATAAAATCCATGAGTAAGTGATAAAGTTACTTGATGGCTCACTAGGTAGACTTAAGAAATGTCAAAAAATAATATTCAGCAGAGAAGTACTTTCTTTCAAGAGGGTTTGTGGCCCATTTTTAAATTTTGTTACACAAAATGAAGGTGCTTTACAGGGGCTATACAAAAGCGTCTTCTACACTAAAAAGCAGTAGCTTCAGGTTGAATGGCTGTTTTCTTCCTTTTTTCTTTTTTTAAAATAAAAATGCTGAAGGAACAGCTCAAGAGGAAGAATGCATACTGCACAAACATTCTGAACAAGTGTATTAATTTGTCTTCTTCAGAGAAAAAGGTTATCAATATCACAGCCTCTTTCCTTCTTAGAGCTTGAAGGTCTGTGCTGCTGAGAGTTGCAGCTAGGACTAAACTCCAGGCTAGAAACAGGAGAATACTGGCATTACATATGAGGGTAAGTAAAACTACATGGTCTAGCTCTTAAGTTAGCTTTTTGTTTTTAAATCACTTAAAAAATTACTAGCTAATTTAAGTATACTTACTCTACATTCTTTGTCCATTCTGGAAGGTTAGTCCATGTCATAAATACACAGTTTGTCAAAATAGTGAGCATAATGAGAATGCTGAACAATGTTGACTGTAGTTAAGGAACATACTCTTTTTTTAAATGCTGAATTTGCATCACACAAAACATGAGGCTATAGAATACTGACAACATATGACACAAATCAGTTTACTATCACTAGCATTGTCATAAATAATGCAAAGATGCTTCACGATAATGAAGACTATACCACTAAGTCTAATCTAGGCATACCTGCTGTGCATCTCTTCTGAATTTCATCAGAGGATTAAAGTGACAAATCTTAGCTCCAATTCATTTTGAGAGAAAGAATTAAGGGTAGGAAAACATGTAAACACTAAACCAAAAAAAGCAGTGTTATTAAATATTAAAAAAGACCAGTAATACTTTTTAACAAACCACTTGAAAAGGATATGAATGAACCAAAATCTTAATAGCTATTCTTCTAATAATATTGAAAGGAGATAAAAGGTACAAGGCAGGTGTGGCACTGAACCTGAAGATTGTCTTCCCTTTATTCAATACTATAAATGTCTTTAAAACAAAAACAAAACAGGAGGGGGAGAACAGGAGATAGGAAATTAAGGATACATGTTGGCAATCTTACCATAAGTAAGAGGCCGCACTTACACAGATGTAAGTAGCCCAATTTCTTTTCAGTAGATTTATACAAGCAAATATCAGATTCCAGCTTTTCACATGAGCAAAGAAAACCAAATGCCATACATTCTTTGTCTCTGTGCTCTTAAACAAAACATTTCAGCATTTTCCAGGATATAATTAAAAATGTGTCATTTTTAACATTTAAAATTAATCCAGCTATATTACTAGCACTTCACATCAAAGCTGGCAAATACAAAACAAAGCATCTAACTAACAATTTCTGGACACTCATGAGCAACTATCTAACCATTTCAGCACTTTAAAACTGCTTGAGGTGAGACATCCTTTGGTTTTAAAGGCTTTACTACCTTTATTGTCTGTGCAGTCATCACTAGTACCATTTATGCAACCATTTTTGATTTTGACTAGGAGACACAATGAAAATATCATCTAATGAAATCTTAATTCAATCTACATCTTATGATTATTCTCCCAAAAGGCTAATATCCGGAAATAAGCAGGTTTTCTATGATATTCTGCTGTAAAAGAAATAGATCTTTTGACAGTAGCTTTCATGAAGTTGAAACAACAAAAACTAAAATAACTAAAAAACCTACATCTGATTATTAGTCTTCAACATTCTGTACTAGGAAAAAACACTGCTTTAAGTTAGTTGCTTCTTACTGAGATAATATAGCTCACTGGTCACTTACTTACATGCACGATACTAACCTGTTGATTATCCAGTACTTCATTTCAAAAACCTGTTCTATGTTTTTAATTCAACAAGTATTTTATTGATTATGCACAATAAAATAACCTCTTGCTGCTTATTTTCTACTGCCTTCTTAATGTATACTCAATTTTGCTTTCATTCTGAACATCATTCCACTTCTCATGCCTACAGAAAAATATTTTTCCTTCATCTGTACTTGCTAAAGTCATCACCCTTGATCCTTTCTCCTTTTTTTAACATTATATCTATAAAAGAAACAAAGTCACATCATAGTATGTATATATAAATTTAGATTTTGTTCTCAGGCCTAATACACAGCTTTAGTCTTTACATTCAGTCTCATGTGAGAAGTGAATGTGGGGCTATTCACATGAATGTTATTTTTATACTGTTTTGCTGAACTGATACTGAGCCACAAATCCTCTTTTACATTAAACAAAACCACAGCATTTATATAAAATTTCTGGGAAAACTTTGCATTCGTGCAGATGTAAAGTGATTCTAAGAGGAATGATGCACAGACTTTCAAGAACTTCCTTGCTCTGTAACATACTACTATTCAGGGCATATGACCTCAAATTGTCCGACCAGCGTACTGTCTTCGAGTTGCCCATAGGGCAGTGCAGGGAGTGATTACTTGCTGGAGAATTGGTATTAAAATCGTCCTGATTATTAAAATCATCAGGAAAAATGTAAGTGGCAAGAAAAATCAAATCTTCCCCATGACACTCAGAACAGTTGCAGTGGTTCTGAAGCAAACTAGTGTAACGAGCTCACCTCTATAA